TTTTGTTGAGGTGGATTAGTCTAGGATATCACACGGCCACGGCAAATTAAAACAGGAGAAGAATCTCTCCACTTCCTATTGCAACTACCTTTCACTTACACCAATTATTCTTCCTTAGATTTGATTCTTATTCTTTTCTCCTGTTTATTATAAAGTTTGCATAAAATATATATATAGCAGAAAAAGATATCTTGTGCAACTTTAGGAATACCAATATCACCAAAAACCCTTGTAAAAGTAAAGAAACCACAAAAGGAGTAATTTACCACATGGGTGCATGGAATGTGATTGAACAAAAGGCACTTCAAAATTTTCACTTTCTTTGTCAGCTTACTACTTTTACAAATACCTTTTAAATACCTTTCCTTTTTATTAACTATTTGGCAGGTAAATAGTACATAGACAATATGCATGACCACTCATAACCACTCTGATTCAAGCATCAGTGGTTAATTCTACGACTCGAACCCGTAGCTTATAAGTCACACGAGAAAAACTCTATTGTTGTTCCTGTTAGGTGTTTGTCCTGATTTTCTTACCATATTTGATTTTTTCTCTCTTAGAAAAATGCAACATATTTGATATATTTGAGTTTTCCTTTTCTTAGAAGTAAATTATAAATCTCCCATATTTTGCTAGTCCCTTTTTTAAATGTTTTAGACTTCTATAAATTGAGGATTCCTCCTTCCATCCACAATGTAGCCATATGGTATTTGAGAGTCTTGTTTAGGGAGAGAATTACAGAACAAATGTTAGTCTACCACTTGTGCTTGCTTCTTTGTGAGGTTGTTCTCTCAATATTTTGTACTCTCTTTTATATAGTGGATTACTCATCTCCGCCTGTGGACGTATGTCAATTGATTGAACCACGTTAAATATTTGTATCTCTTTTGGTATATTTCTCTGTTGTTGTCTGATTTATTGTCGTTCAAGGTTTGCTTTAATAGTTTCCGTATGACAATGGCACTTAATTATTTCGATCACAATAGTTCCAAAGTTCCCTTCAATAATTCTCAATTTCTGTTTTATAATTTAATGTGCAATTAATGAGATTAGGACCATCTCATCACTTATAACATTTACAGTAACTGAGTTAAATCTTGTAGCATAGTTCAAAAAACTTCATAATCTGGTTCTCCTATCCAAGTAGACAAATTTTTTCCTGGAAAATCATGATCATGTGATGAGTGCAACTATTGAAAGAGCAAGCAATTGACACATGAAAGACAATGTTTAGCAAATGTGTATGATTATGAAAACACAAGGAAGAAGGAATGGTCGATCAATTATTTGGATTTGGCCTAACTTTTGTCAATTAGCCAGCTAGATTCATGTTCAAAATTAATAAAGTTTTAGTTCAATTAAGCTGCATATGTCTATTTATTGTTAACAGATGTTTCGAGACTTAAATATATGGGCCACCTTAGAAGCTGGAATACTACAAATTATATAACACCTGTTTTTGGAATGCGAATCTTCTAAAATCTTGGCAACACTTATCTTGTTTTGCCTTGTTTTTGTGTCTTTTTGTCATTATAGGTGTGCCTTATGTTTCAAACTTCTTATGCTCAAGCTTAAGAAAATCTGAAAAGAAAAAAAAACACGTTTTGTCTCCTAATAATAGCTTAACCCTTTCATCTCAAGGTTCTCTTAAAGCTTAATTCCATCACATGCTAAACTTGATTAATAGTTGACATACTAAACTTGAGTTTGACAAATAGCAGAGATTGTTCGTATCGAATTCTTCAAAAATAATGTATTCCTAGAGGATTTGACAGACATGCGATGACATCTGTAAAGGATTGGAGACGAATACATTAATATTTTTGAAAACTTTTAACAACATAAAACTTATGCTTTAGATTCTCCGAGCCGAGGATCTTTCTTGAACCGAAGATCTATCAGAACCAGCTTCTCTATCTGTATAAGATAGGGGTAAGGTCTGCATACAAACTACTCGTTTTAGATCCACTAGTGGGATTATACTGGGTACATGTTATTGTTGTTGTAGTAGTATTCTGAGATATTTTCTGTGACAGAGAAAAGATTAAATCCAAAAGCATGAATCTTCAAATTAACTTGGTCGGAGTTGGATGAGACCTCATGATCAATGAAATGAATATGATTTGTTTAATTCTCCAATAAATCATAAATAGTAGATTGAATCAGAGTATACAAACCAAATGTCAATCAGAATAAACAAGAAAAGAAATCAAGAAGTCTAGTCAGCCCAGACAAGTGGCTTTGCATGTTGAATAAGGAGAGGATCCAAAACTAAAGGGAAAAATAAGAAACACGATAAAATTTAAAAAGTGAACAAATAGACAAAAACAGTGACAAAACGATTCACTGGTATGATTTTTGCACAGTGAGTGCGTTATTTATTTGATTATATGGAATATTATAATGACAAGTGATTGAATAAATGTGGCTATGTCCTACCATGTACCCAATTAATGAAACCCTATAGACTCTAATATATGATTGGCCACAGCCTTACATTTGGCTGGTTGATTAAAGTTATATACATTGTGTAAAGATACTTTTTACGTTATCAACGAAGTTTAGTTGGTAATAACTAGTTACTAGATTTTTTTTATTTTTTATATTGACGTAAATGATTGATCGTGTAAATTTTTATCAATGTTAGTACATAGAACTTCAACTCACTGCTTGTTTATAATTCTTCAGTTAAAATACGAATTTCGCCCATTAATAAAGTAGACCTGAATTTGACGTGTATGAAGCTTAAGAGTAAAATTTTGACTAGATAATTACACGAGTTTTCTCGAGATCAAGCATTTGATATTATTGATTGAAATACAAATAAGGTCACTAGTTAGCTAAAAAGATGTCATATCAAGTTTGAATAGTATAAGGATTATTATACATTAGCCTATATTGTTTGATAGATTATTATTAATTAAAAAGAAGAAACATAATGTGCTTATACTATTACTCCATAGTATTGGCCACAGGGGAATAATATTTGGTGCAAGAAAATCTAAGAGTTGAGGTGGCATACTAATGACCGAACCGAAAAAACCGTCCAAATCGATAATTTTGATTTTTACGGTTCGGTTTATTCAGTTTTTCGGTCAGTTGCGGTTCATATTTTTTAAAAGTTTGGTGTTCGGTTTTGGTAACCGAAAAATCGAAGTTTTATACTATAGATTCTGATGGCCTCCCCTTCACTTGTTTGTCTCTAGCCAAATTTGGTTACCCACGCTCTAAATGTTGCGGCCCGAAACACTATTTTCGAAAACCAAGTTTTATTTTCCCATTACAAATCACGTCAATTCAGTCCATCTTTTGATTTTTTATTCTTTCTCTTGTTTGTATCTTATGGAATCTTGATGTTCTTTATGAAAATATGACTAAGAAAACTTATTTGTCTAACAAACTAATTTAAAGCATTCTTGAAGATAGAATGAGCGTATTAGAGAAAAAATAATTGGGAAGGGAGAAGAATAGGAAAAGGAAAGCATTCTATTCATTTGTAAGTAGTTTAAACTACGGTTAGTTGTGTAAATTAAACACTCTATTCATTTTTAGTTGTGTAAGCTAATCTTTCCTTGCTTAAGTCTTTTTTTGATATACCTTTGCTTTGGTTGAATCAATAGGTGTTAAAGTATTATTTTAGACTTTTTCTTAACCATTGTTTGTAAGTGATTTGGCATAAAAGGCAGAAACATCATATTAATTGATATTCTATTGTTGGTTATATATATTATATTTCTGTTCATTGCTTGGTATAAGATCGCAGTCACCCAATTATAAAATTTTATTAAATCGTTGCTACTATTTTAATTAAATAAGTCAATTGTAGAAAAAGTTAAATTTTAAAACTTACTTTTAGTTTTAAAAAAAAAAAAGAAGAAAAAGCCTAATATCTAAGTATAAACTCCCGAATTGAACCGCAAACCGACCGAATCGAACTAGCAAAAACCATACAAATCGAACTAATTTTAGTTCGATTATTGGTGTATCAAACGAAAAATCGAAAACAGAACCGAATTTCATGAAAATCATATCGAACGGATTGAGGCCTACCCCTATCTAAGAGTGTAGTATAGTAGCTAGGAATTCCATTATTAAAGAATAATTATAGTACTAGGGCACCATTGTCAGTTGCCCACGTCATGATTGTGATCAATTGGGACAATTTTTATTCAATCTTTAATTGTTTTATTATAATTTATTACTACTCGTCTACTGATTGTTAACTCAGCCTTGACTTAGTTTCTTTTAATGGGGTATATGTCCATTCCTTTTATCTTTCCTAGTTCTGTTCACACAAATTGTAGAGGTTCAACAATTGACACATGATAAAAAAAAAAGGTTGTCACGTATACGAAATTTAGTGTGCACAATCTTTTTCTGTATTTTTTAAGAGATGATTTTAACTGTTGGACTCGTGACTTTCTAGTCAAATGTGATACAGTAATAATTCTAATCGTTGTTCCAATGCTCCATTCGCTCGTTAGTCTCACTAGACAAGATTTATTCAGTTTTATTCGCATTAGAATAAACCTGAATATATGTTCATTAGTGATGCAAGATCATATCTATGAGTTTAATAATCAGATTTTCCTCCAGAAAATTGGTTACTCCGCCTCTAATCCAGAGGAAAACTATTTCTTGGACGAATCAAAAGATTTCATGTGACGGAAAAGTCAAAATTGGTTTGCCGATAATTACAAAAATATAAAATAAAAACCGGTTTTCATAAGCTTGATCAAATAACTCGTGCCAAAGAAAAAAGAAAAGAAAAGAATAGATTTAAGAGAAAATGACATTGTATAGCCGCTGTAAAAATAATAGCCAAAAAAATATATAAAATTTNTGTTTGTTATATACAAAAAATATATAAATTTTATACATTTTTCCGAATACCAAATGTAAATAATTTCTGGCGCGGGCTAAAAGTGATAATACCTTTGGATTTAACGTGGGCTTACAGTGCTTAAAAATGTGGAACAGACCAAGTCATAGACACTTCAGAATTCAGTAGAGCTCATCTTTGTTGACTATCAAACTCCAAAAGCCCACAAAACCTAAATCCTGCACAACATTTTTGCATGCTAGACCCAAAATAATAATTAGAAAAATACTCCAATGTGATTTTTCAAGACATATTTGGTACTAAAGCAAGCTAACTAAGGCACAGGAAAGAAAAAAAGTTAGCACTTGATGAAGATACACTAATTTTACCAGCAAAAGCTTCTATGCTTGTGACAAGATTTCCTCTCTTTTTCCCCCTGAAACAAAGTTTATATTGTTGCAGTAAGGATATTCATGTCCAAAGGAGTGTACTGCATCATTTACAAGCCAACTTGGGAACACATCAGACATCATTCCGGTACAGCGAATGGCTTCTGATAATCTTCTTAGGATTATCTGTTTGATCCCAGAAAAGTTTCATCATCCCATAGCTTCAGCGTGGCATTTCACTATCCGATTGACTACCTGAGAAAGACCAAACACAGAAAGAAGAATAAGATAAAACAAATTGACTCTTTAAATGTTGCCTTCACCACACTGCATAGGTTGTGGGCAAGAGGCAAGGAGTAGAAGTTCCCAGCTGAATTTAACCCTTCTGATATAGATGCAGCTGCTGCATCTATACATGAAAAGGATAATAGAGGTACATTTTGCGGAAAAGATAGAAAACTCACTCAATCTGAGAGCAGTATGTAAGCCTTCAAGTCCCTGGATTGAGAAAGAAAACTGGCAATGGAATGCATATGAATTTCCTGATCAAGAAGATATTCAGTCGATTTTTAAAACAGGGAAGGTCAATTTCCACAGAGATAAATACTTCACAGAGAGTTTTCCTCTCAATTCCACACTACTAGAAGAATAATTCTTTTGGGAATGCTAATAAACCATTGTAGCGAGAGTGGACTGACTAAATATTGCTGTAGATCCCAAAACTATTAATGGAAAACTTAAGCAGTCTAAATAGGTATTATCATTCAGAAAATATGTCAAGAATAAGCAAGAAAAAAGTTGACACCGAGCATGTAAACAACAAATGTATTGTAATATTCAAATATTGAATCACCGGTGTGAAATACCCTCATTCCAGCAGGTTAAAGAATATTGTTACTTCACTTTCACCAACAATACCAGCTCTTACATCTTGCTTTTGTTATTTTCCTTTAAACTTAACCAAGAAAACTCAAATCTCTAATTAAGAATTAAGACTAGCTCATGAATATTATTTTTTTAATTGGTGGATAATGGTAATGTAGGGGCAGCTTGTGCACCCTCAACTATTCCGTAGGATACCTGCATCCTTCCACAACCACCAAAACAACAGGTAAATCTGCTCCCATCAAGGCTTATGGAAGTATATCGCCTAGCTTTATGTTACAATCACTGAAATTTGAACCCTGGTCTCTGATGATCTTCGCTCCAACTTCATTGACTGCTTGGCCACACCTTTGGGATCCACATACAAAGGCTAGAAAAGTACATGATTTCAGAGGAACACTTGTTAAGAAGAAAGACTATCTATTTAGCATATGTACAATTTGATACAGAGCCTATCGACTAGTGTCATTATCCAGATTTCTCTCATCCATTTACAAGACATCTGACCAAAACAAAGAAGCTTCGTATATACAGCAATACAGCATTTGAGTGGCTATGGTTTGCACCATCATCTATACATTGTCAAAGAGGATCCTCTTTACTTCATGCAAAACTTTTCTTCAGAAAGCAGTGGACATATCAATTCCTTGGAGAAGAGGAGACTTGTCTACCAATAATTGCCACAGGAACAATAACCATCTTTGAAGTGATGCAAGCACTTCGAGTCATGTATATATATTTCACGTTCATATTTCTGAGAAATAAATTTGGCAGTCCTATGGCAATCTTCACACATTCTGAGGTTCTTAACAATTCGGATCACTCGAGATGATTGAGGATTCTTAATGAGAGTAAAAGAAAGTGCAAGTTTCTCACTATGAACTCTACTCATATCTTCCTTCTCCTCTTCTCTGATGCAGAGCCTATTGCAAGAACTAGATCCCTCCATTTTTACTTCTTTTCTTTTTATCCAAGAATCTGGAACCTCAGAATTACTCTGCTGACCTGAAGCAAAAGCATACACCACATTGTTGATCTCAGTCCAGCTCCAACTAAGAGATTCTTCACAATGATTTCTTTTTCTAGGTCTCAGCACAGTTACTGATTCTTCAGAAATCCCACGTAGAGCATACAACTGTAAGAGCAACTGATAAATCACTACATTTTCTGAATCCAGTTTGAGTAATTGTTCCCCAGCATGGATAGCTAAAGTCAAATTACCGTGCATGCGAGAAGCAGTCAGCAATGCACCCCATACAGAAATAACACGCTCCATGGTCATATTGTCTATAAATTCAATTGCTTCTTCAAGTTTACCTGAACGACCATATAAATTAACCATAGCCACACAATGTTCTAGACCTGGTACAATCCGATACTCTTCGGACATGCTAGAGAACATACTCTTCCCCTCATCAACCATTTTGGCTAGACCATAAGATGAAATCACACTCGAGAAAGTACCCCTGTTTGGTTTAAGCCCTGCCTCTTTCATTTGATGAAATAGCTTTATTGCCTCACTAGAACAGCCATGTAAAACATAACCAGCAATCAATGTGTTCCAAGAAATAATATCTTTGGTTGACATCCCATCAAGTATTTCTTTCGAGTATTTAATGCCCCCAGACTTGGAATATGTGTCTATAAGAGAATTAGCAACGGAGAGCTCATTTTCCAGATTGCAACGCAGAACACAACAATGAATCTCTTTCACCTTCTTTGCAGCAATTAAGTTTGAACAAGCAGGTAGGATGGACAAAATGGTAACTGCGTTGGGCTTAAAACCAAATGACTGCATTTTCCGAAACATGCCCAACGCTTTGTCCTTCTGTCCATTTTGCAAATAGCCAGCAATGAGAGCGTTCCATGAGGCAGTATCCTGCTCAATGCTCCCGTCCTTCTCCATCCTCCAGAACAGATCCAATGCTTGATCCTCATCACCATTTTGCATGTGTCCTGTAATCATAACATTCCACGTGATAACATTAGGTGATACCTCAGACTCATGCATCTTCGTAAAAAGATCATGGGCTTTTCCAAAGTACCCGGCTTGGCAGTATCCTCCAATCATGGAATTCCAACTGTAGACATCTTTCTCTGGGATCATATCAAAGACTAACCGAGCAGCTTCAAGTTTACCACATTTGGAATATAAGTCAATCAAAGCATTCCCAACAATTTCCTCTCCATCAAATCCTAACTTTACAACCAAAGAGTGAAGTTCTCTTCCCTTCTTCAGGTCTTTAAGAGAAGCACAAGCTGAAATTATGCTTGTAAGTGTTACTTCACTTGGTGTAACTCCATTGAAACTCATCTCCCGGAACAACTCTAATGCCTGACTGTTCCTGTTATGTTGAGCCAAACCTGAAATCATACAAGTCCAACTAAAAACATCAGGCACTATCCCATTACCCTCCATCTCCTTCATAACTTCCAGCGCCTCATCACACTTGCCTAACTGATTATGGCTAGCTATCAATGTGTTCCATGTGATCAAACCGGGTTCTACGCCTTCAAGATGCATTAAGTCCAATAACCTCCGGGCCTCCACAATCTCACCCTTGTGACAATACGCCATTATAATCGAATTCCAAGACACTATATCCGTCTTCTCCATACTCTCGAAAAGCCTCTTTGCACAAATTAACAACCCGCATTTTGCATAAACAGCTAGAAGCGAGTTATTCACACGGATTTCAGAACTCATTCCACATCGAATCGCTATAGAATGAATCAACCTACCAGTCTCAACATCACCACAATTCCCACAAGCTTGTAAAATCTTTGGGAACAAAAAGCTATCGGGTACAATACCATCCTCCATCATCATGTAAAAAAGGTCCACAACATCACCCCACCTACTATCTCTTGAACAAGCACCAATCATAGCAGACCAAGCAAATAAATCCCTCTCACGCATTTCATCAAACACAACGTATGCTTCTTGTAAAGACCCACATTTGGAATACATCCCTAACAGCTTAGTTTCAATAAAAGGGTAAACTTTTTTAAGTAAAAAATTCATCTTTTTATGAAGTTTACGTCCCAAAGGTAGTGACTTCGAATTGATGCAAGATTCTATAAGTTTTGAGAAAGTTTCGGGTTTTACCTTATACCCATATTGTGAAATGGATTCTAAAGCTGTTATGGCTTCACTGAGGCGCCCATTTGTGCAAAGATAATTCAAATGAGTATCTGTAAATCTTGGTTCATAATTGATGGGTATTTTTGATTTTGGGTGATAATTTTGGGATAATTCTGAAATTGTTGGGAAAATTGATTTGCAGGGAAGAATTACACTCTCCATTGGAGAGTGCTTAATTTTTCCTTTTCCTTATTTTTTCTTTTTTCTTTTTGGAGTTATGATTTAATTTGTTCTTGGTAAAGATTGATGAATGAGTTGCAGATAGCCACAGGAACTGCAGACATGATTCTCTGTGATGACTTTTTATTGCGTGTCCACTTTGAACCAATCAGAAATTTACAGCTCGGATTATCTTAGAAATGGCCAACTCGGATTATCCATAGCTAATGCTCTCTTGGGCCAACACTTAGTTTGAAGGAGTTTTTACCTTCCTAAACACTATTTGAAACATTATTATTCTCCCTATTTAATTTTTAATTTAATTACATAGTCATATATAATTTATTAATTATATATAAATAAATTTTAAATGAGTATCCCTTTATATTAGAAATTGAATAAGAAATATCAGCTACTTCCCTATCCATTTATACTTACTTGCCTAGGCTCTCTCTCTCCGTCTCTCTATGTTTCCGTCTCTCTCTCTCTTGCAAAGTCTGAAGTTTCACTTCGCTTTAGTTGGTCATATGTCTGTCTCTCTCTCTCTTGCAAAGCCTAAAGACTCATAAGAAATATCAGTTTATGATTTGAAAAGAGGAATGCTCAACGAAGTTAAAATTGCAAAGCTTGAAGATTCACTTCGCTTTAGTTGGTGTGATGACTCAAAATGTCATCTTTAATTTAAACATTCATGTATGTGTTTTAAGACCTCGAAAAGTACTATTCATCATTCCTCGACTTGCGTGCGCAGTCCTTATAATTTTTCGGAAAGTTTTTATATGAAAAATGGATTAAAATGTGAAATCGAGCCTTAAAACGAAACTAAGTTGACTTCGGTCAATATTTTGAGCAAACGGACCCGGATCAGTATTTTAACAGTTCCAGTAGATCCGTATCGTGATTTGGGACTTGGGCGTATGCCTGGAATTGAATTTGGAGGTCCCTAGCTCAAATTATCGCTATTTAACGAAAACTAGAAATTTAAAGGCTAATGGTTTCCAAAGTTTGATAACGGATTTGAATTTATCTATATCGGACTCGGATTGAGATTTCGAAAATTGAAATAGCTCCGTTATGTCATTTATGACTTGTGTGCCAAATTTGAAGTCATTCCGGATTCATTTAATATGTTTTGGCACGAGTTTTGCAAAGTGAAAAGTTTAAAAAATCAAAAGTTCGAATCGAGGTGTGAATTGTAATTTCGATGTTGTTTGACATGATTTGAAACTCTGAGTAAGCCCGCATTATATTACGGAACTTGTTAGAATATCCGGACGAGGTCCCGAGTGGCTCGGATGAGTTTCGGACGAGCCACCGATCAATTAGAACCTGCTGCCCTATGGTGGTTCCGGTGCTTTGCATCTGCGCCATTTTGGCCGCAAGTGCGTGATCTGCGGAGGCAGTGTCTCTTCTGCGACCCCAAAGCCAGGCAAGAAGTTTCGCTTCTGCGAAGCATGGAGTGCAGGTGCGATGCCCGCTTCTACGGTGCCATGATCGCAGGTGCGGTCCTCCTCGCTTCTGCGACGTGAAGGTCCGCAGATGCGGTCCTCTGCTGGGCAGCCCTATTCCTCAAATGCGAGCTTTGTATCGCAAATGCGAGTCCGCAGGTGCAAAAATATTGGACAAAATACATAAAATCGGATGTTACCATTTTTACTCATTTTTGAGTTTTGAGTCTCGAACTTCGGCGATTCCAAAGGGATTTTTCACAACTTCGACTTAGGTAAGTGTTATATATCTGAAAGTGATTATATTTCATAAATCAATCTCAATATTCATCGTTTATTTCGGATTTAGATGGAAGAAATTGAGATTTTTATAAAAATTTTCAAAAAATATAAAATGAAGATTTGAAAGGCAATCCGATATCGGAATTCGATAATTTTTATATGGTTGAACTCGTATCGGAACGGATGTTCGGATTTCGTGAGTTTTTTTGGGATTCAAGATGTGGGTCCCACTATCAATTTTAAAATAAATTTTAAATTTTAATCCAAAAAATTAGTAAATTCATATGGAATTAGTTCTTACGATTCGTGTTGAGTATATTGAATTATTTATGACTAGATTTGAAGCTTTCGGACATGAATTCGCAAGGCGAAGGGTTGTTGGAATCTTGAAATTGGTTGCGAAGCGAGGTAACTGTCGTGGTTAACTTTGACTTGAGGGAATAGAACCCTTGAATTATTTGTTATATGAAATTCATGTGAACGAGGTATAGGCGAGGTGACGAGTGTCTATACGTCGTCAAATTAACTATTTGCATAATTATTTGAAAATCATAAATCGTTTTAAATCATGAATTAATTATTATATTAATTGTTTCTCTCGCTCAATATTATGCCTTGAATTCATGCTATAATTTCCACATGCTTATTTGATTTATGTGACTTAATTGCTACTTGACATTTAGCATACTAATTATTAAATTGCCTATTTCCTTCGTAATTTCCACAACTAATTGCTACTTGTCATCACTTATTTTTAAATAAATCATAATTATTGTATGTTTGTTGTCTTATAATTTCATATTAATTGTTGTATTTATTGGAGTAATTTCTTTTATAAGAATTGGTAAATTATATTATTTGAGGAGGGGGTTGCACGCCGCAACAGAAATAAAAGTGAATATATTGGAGGAGCGGGTTGCACGCCGCAACAGAATTGATTGAAATGAATATATTGGAGGAGGGGGTTGCACGCCGCAACAGAATTGATTGAAAAGATATATTTAGGATCGAGTTGCACATCACAACAGGATTAAATAAAAATGAATATATTGTAGGATCAGGTTGCACGCCGCAACGGAATTGAATATGAATATATTGTGGGATCGGGTTGCACGCCGCAACGGAAACTGATTGAAATAATAATTGGTTACGACTGTCGAGTTGGCTTCAGCTGTTGAAATGAGTTACATATTTTATTTCTAGTATTGTTGTTGTTATTATTATTATTATTATTATTATTATTATTATTATTAT